CAAGCTGCCCATCCCCCCTGTGCTAAGCTACTGTTGGAACAGGTTACTAACTGAAACAGCAAACGTACCACTGAAATCAAGAAGGGTCCTCAGGAAAAGTTATGTGTACTCCACCCCCAAATGCACGCTTAACAAGAAACTCTGCTGCTCTCAGTAGACACAGCCCAGCCACTGTGTGGTGACTTCTGTATGCTGCTATCTGGCACCCACTCTCAGCACGTGGGAGGGCACAAGATGAAACTACTTTGACTGGGGTCTGGAGGACAATTTTCACTATGCTATTATAGCAAACGACAGCAAATTTAGTCTCTCATTTTCCTGGGAATCCAAAATAAAAAATTTTCACAGGGCTAAAATCAATGTGCATTCCTTTACAGAGCTGTATGCTTTAGTGGACAACGTCTACCTCCTGGCCTCTTCCATCTTCTGGAAGAATGTGTTTCCTCCTGCTCAAATCTTTTGGCTCATGTCTCCATCCCAAAGGCAAAATCATCAATCTGAGTCCATAGTATACTACATGGTTGTCCCTCTTCTGCCCGCCTGTGATGATACTAAACCCACCCGCATAATCCAGAAAATCACCCATCTCCAGGCCAGCTGATTAGTGATCTTAGCTCTATCTGCACCCACAACAGCCCTCTGCGTGCATCCTGACACAGAGGTTCCAGGTATTTGGACCTGTGTGGTGACAGGAAAGGTCCAGGGGCCAGCAGAACCAGGAGGTCTCACTAACAAAGGCTGCCTGCCCCATCTTTATTTGCAGTGGCACTGTCTGAATGAGGCTTCTCATGAGGTCAGTAGCCCTGGGGGCTGGGGACACAGTGGACTGGCAATGACTGTACTTTTGTTTGTAACTCTGTTCCTTTCTTACCTGATTTAAAAGACAGTTGCATGGGTAATCACTCTGTGTTTATAAATTATAAAGATATACTTTCTATGCCAATTTTAGCATAAATGCCAATTTTAGCAGAAAATAGAACTATGTTGGAGCAAAGGTTTTGCATACTATTAAAAGGAAATTGATGGGGCTGAGGATTTAGCTCAGCAGCACAGCGCGTGCCTGGGCAAGCACACAGTCATGAGTTTGATTCCTGGTACTGGAAGAAAAACAAAATAAAACAAACAAACAAAAAAAGGAAATTGGTTTAATCTAATCTCAATTGTTTTAAATTATTAACTGTAATCCCCAGGAGATGTCCACTAACAAAATTAAAATGTTTCTATTATTTTATACTATTTTTTGTCTTTTTGAGACAGGGTCTCACTAAGCAGTTCTTCAAGCTGGTCTTGAACTCACTATGTAGCCCCAGGCTGGCCTCAGACTCTCAAGGATTCTCCTGCCTCAGTCTCCCAAGTGCTGGGATTACAGGCATGCACCACCACACCCGGCTCTAAATGAAATCTTTTTTTAAAGGATAAGGAAAAAATGAAACTAAAGTGATACTGTAGAAAATATTTAACACAAAAGAAGATCACAATGATAGGGAAAGGAAGAAAAGAGATCCAAGATGTGTGAAAAATTAAGAACAAAGCAGTAACTTATTAGAGACCCTACCACAGTGCCAGTTATTGGAGCCCCCTGCAGTGGGTTCCATTCTCCTGCCTGGGTTATGGCACATGGCAGGAAAGGAAAGAAAGAGCAAGAGACAAAGTAAAGAGGTGCACAGCAGGATCAGAGACCACCAGTTGCCCTCTAGGAACAAAAGACCCCAATATCCAGCTGGCTGCCATTTTATTAGCCAGTTCAGGAGAAGGGGTATGGTGCTTTCTCTGGAACAGCAGAGAAGTAATGGTTGAATGGACAATTTTAACATCACTGAGGAAACAAGCCAAGATCCATGCCTACACTTGGGTGCCAACCTCATTGACTGAGGAAGCGGGATTTCCACATTCCAAAGCTGGCCCTCAAGGCAGGCAGGGTAAGGAGACTCTAGGACAGATATTATGTCAATTTACATTTCGGGGTCCCCAACAGCAACTCATAATAGCTACATCTTAGAAGGGGCCTATACACCCATCAATAGGTGAATGGATAAAGAAAACATTGTATAGGTAACAATGGAGTACTGCTCAGCTATAAACAAGGATACCTTTGAGTCATTTGTAGGAAAATGGATGCACTTTGAAACCATATTGCTAAGTGAAATAAATCAGACCCTGAAAGTTAAATATCCACACAGTTCCTCTTATATGAGAAATCCAAAGTATAAATAATTCAAAGAGCAAAATAAAAGATAGATGATAGGAAATAGACAAGTAAACTTTGTGGAGATGGGAATGAGACCTAGGCATAGGGATAGACAAGGGGAAGGGAGAGAAAAAGAAAGAAAATCTCATAAAGATGTGATATGTATATTTCCCAGTTCCCCGGGATGTAATTATTATGTGTTACAAACATGTACCCACTCTTCAAAAGTACAAAGTGGTAAATGCAAGTTCTACCTCATGAATAACTTCATTGTATTTTAAAATATTAAACACTCCAAAGAAGACTATAAAAATTAACTTCTCAAATCCTGTTTGAACTAATAGGTGTGTGCATCAAGTTTATAGAAGATTATCATACAAATATCATTTTATTTCTATACAATTGCAATAAACATTTCACAAATGAAATTAGGGAAACAATTCCATATACAATAGTGTTATAGGCAGCTGAGTTACATAGAAATTTTATAACAAGTCAGACAGGGCCAGGCCCTGGAAGGAGCCAATACAGAAGAAAAGATACCTTGCAAATGGAGAAGTAGTTGCTGCAGGCCAGACCTCAAGACAAAAGATTAAACAAATGTACCCACATACCTCTCTAGGGATGGACATCAGGGATTGGTATTTGAAACAGGTAGCAATCAGCTTGAAGAGTCACTGACCCATCCTCATACAGGAAAAGCCCGTGTTCTGTATTCATGCCCCCTTGCTACATGACTCGCTTCCCCATTTGATCCCAATTTAATCAATTTTACCTGAACTATTCTTATAGGCGGACCATAGTTTTGTCTCACCTCACGCTCACCTTGCGATTTCCCATCCCCCCTCCCTTGGACCCATCTCATCTCATGATTTTGCTCTATAAAAATCCCTGGAAAAGACAGGTTCCCAGGGCAACCCACTGGGGCCCCTCTTCTGTCCCTCTCTCGGACAGAATCTTTCTTTCCCTCAATAAATATGTTCTGCTCTTAAACTTAAAATTCATTCTTCAATTTTAGAGAACACAAACCCATCCCACATATCGTTCAGATTGGAAGTTTCTTTCCCCTATATCAATAGCACCAGAAAGAATAAAACATTTGTGAATAACTTTAACAAAAGAGGTAGAAGACTGCTGCTGAAAATCACCCAAATGCAGACCTTTTCCCTCTTCATGTTCC